GGGCCCCGGGCCCCCACCCCGCACCTGAGTCCCGCCGGCCCTGCGCCGCGCCGCGCAGCCCATGGCGCCCCCACCTGGAGCCCCCCGGAGCCACCCGGACGCCTGAGCCCCCGCAGCGCTCCCGTCGGCTCGCCCACCCTCGATCAGCCCACCAGGCGCCCTCGCCTGCCCCTCTCCCGGGCTCCCCGGCCATGTCTCCCGCCCGGCTCCGGCCCCGCCTGCGGTTCTGCCTGCTCCTGCTGCTGCTGCTGGTGCCGGCGGCGCGGGGCTGCGGGCCGGGCCGGGTGGTGGGCAGCCGCCGGCGGCCGCCGCGCAAGCTCGTGCCGCTCGCCTATAAGCAGTTCAGCCCCAACGTGCCCGAGAAGACCCTGGGCGCCAGCGGGCGCTATGAAGGCAAGATCGCGCGCAGCTCCGAGCGCTTCAAGGAGCTCACCCCCAACTACAATCCCGACATCATCTTCAAGGACGAGGAGAACACGGGCGCCGACCGCCTCATGACCCAGGTGAGGGCGACCCGCCCTGGTAGGGCGCCGCTGCCGAAGCACCGCCACCTGCCCGGCCCTACCCGCCCCCCTGGCACCTTTTCTTGACTGGCTGGCACGCCCCCTGGCACCTGCCCCTCTCGCCAAGCCTGGCTGCCTCCTGCCCAAGATGGGCTGGCCAGGGGTCTCGGCGGGATTGTCGGCATCCCCGCGCCCGCCAGAGGCTGCGAGAAGAGCTCTCCGCTGCCAAGCGCCACAGCCCAGCCGGTTGGCGGCGGCCGCTCTGCCTCGGAGTGCTGGCAGCTCAGGTCAGACGCGGCACCCGGAGGTACCTCGACACGACTGCCTCCTGCGCCTCCGGGACCCACGCCGTCCCTCCCGGCCTAACCTTCCGCACCTCTGCGCCCCTTTCATTTCCAAGCCTGAGCGAAGAAGCTCTGGGCGCGGCGGGCCCCACGCGCGCTCTTGGTTCGCTGCGCTGCCCCCTCCTGGAGCAACTTCCCGGCTGGGTCTGGGGTTAAGGAACAGCGGGAAAGAGTTGAGCCGGGAGGCGGAGGTGGGAAAGGGAACTTGCTGGGCGAGCCCACGTGTCTGCCCCGAGAGCTAAAAGGCGCAGCTGCGGTTGAAGGGTGGGGTGCCGGGGCCTTAGAGCGCTGGGACCGAACTTGGGGGATCACTGGGCTTGGTGGTGTGGACTGGATGAGAGGAGATGGGATGCGGGGGAAGGCAGTGAGCAGAGTTAACGCTAGTCTTTGCATGCTCGGAACAGGACCCGCGCTCAGCCCAAGCGCGGGAGGGGGGGAGCAAACTTTCTTTCCTGCAGCCAGGTCCGCAAGGGAAGAGACCTACGCCCCCTTCCTCAGTGGTCTCCCGGGGCTCCCCCGCAGGCAGGCAGCCTGCTTTCTAGGTGCCTTAGGAAGAGCAGCTAGACCACGGCCCTCAGCATGCGCCCTGGCGCCGGGGCTGGCCGGCCCGTGTCGGGGCGAAGGTTGGCTGGTGGCCGGGCCGGGCTGGGCGCCGAGGAATGCAGATAAGGATCCGGGCCACGGGCTGGGCAATCATTGACAGCGCGCGCCCCGGCTCTGGACCCGAGGAGGGGGGGTAGTGGGGGAAAGAGGGGCGGGGAGCAGGGGCCCGCGGGGCGGACATAGGTGGGGGGCTAGAAGCCTGGTGGCAAGGAGCACACGGAGCTCCCTCCCTGGGCAGTGAGCGCCCCCAGCTAAACTGCTCGCCTGGGAAGACCGACCGGGCCTTGGGTTGTAGCCGCTGTTGGCTCCTGGGAGAACGAGTCCAAGGGTCTACGGGGCTCGGGCTCTGCGAGGCGGGGGTAGGTTGAGACAGGGGCTGCCCACACTTGGCGGCACCTTGCACCTCAGAGTCAAGGACTGTGGCAGGGCCCCCTCTCTTCCAAGCCCCTCCCCCTAGTCAGCTGCAGGGTCCCTTGGGCTCCAGGCACTCAAGGAGCCAGCATAGACGGATCATCTCTCCCGTCCTTCCCCCAGGGCGCGGCTCTACTCCCACCCTCTGTGAGGCGGAGCGTGGAGCCGGCTCTCTGAGATCCGAGGCTCGGTTTCTCCTGTCCCTTCCCAGATAGGTGTAGGCGCAGAGGTTTTGAGGGCTCTGGGCTCAGGGAGGACGTTGCCTGGGATTATCAACCGCGCGCGCGCCCCTTGCAGCACGAGACGTTCCGCGTCGCCCTCCAAGGGGCTCAGGCGCTGGCCTTTCCACCAGCTTCTGGTTCCCGTGCTGCCGCACCCCGGGCGCGAGTGCGGGCCGGTTTTGGATCGTAAGATGGTCCCAGCAGGAATGCTGTGGCGCACGAGGGATCCAGACAGCTCGGGATTCCCCTCCAACACAC